CCCTTTCCCAGAAAAACGGCAGAGGACAGGTCGGGAGGACTTCGGGTCAAGCTAACAGCCTGATGGTGACTCCCGTACACAGTCTTAATATTTGATTTTGGGAAGGTCAACCCCTGCCTCTATCCCTCAACATATGGGTGACCTATTTGCTTGTAATAATATAAAGCCTTTTCATTAATTAATAAAAAAAAGGATAATATGTAGGAAGCTGCCTGAAGACACCAAGGTATGAATTACTTCACAGGCGCTGGGTAATCTCCATCCCTTTGATCTCTGCCTATCCCGTGGCTCATTTTTGCCTGAGGAGCTGAAGCCATTCATAGGGTAATACGTCCCAGGCGGCTGGTCAGCCTTTTATATAGGGATGGTTTTCTTGGTTCAATGTCTCCACTCTGGTAAAATGCATTAAAGCTTGTCTGCAGAAGGATCCGAGTGTCCTGCGTGTATTTCTTGCTGGCGAGGAATACAGAGAGCGCGCGGGACAGTAACAGGAACCCAAATATAATTTCTTTGCTTGAAGAATCATTATTAATTGGAAAAGATATCACAAAACTAGATTCTACTGTAAATACTTTATCAGTTTTATATCTAAATAGCAGATAGTTTGTAACAAAAGTGTTATGACTTTGTTTTAAGTAGAGAAACTCAAAGCTGATGGTATAATGTCATTTACTGACATTCATTGGGGATTGGTACCTGGACCTCAAAGCTGCAATGATTCATGCACTTGGTATAAGATGGTGTGCACCTAGCATGTAATCTGAAAATCATCTTTAAAACATAAGACCAAGTCCAGGGTACTTGCATCCCTAAGTGTTCTGAAAATCATCTTTAAAACATAAGACCAAGTCCAGGGTACTTGCATCCCTAAGTGTAAAACAAACATGGTACAAATAGCTCCCATACTATTGCATAAACTTAAGGAATAATGAATGACCGGAAAAGGCCCCTGTATGTTCAACACAGATGTAGTGCTGTTTTCAAATAAGTTCAATCCTGGGTGGTAGAATATGCAATGTGGACCCCCATACACGAGGGGACACTGCATAGTCTTTCTTGTACAGTAAAGATATATTTAAGTTGTTCAGCAAATAGTTATTGGCCTGCATGGTGCAGCATGCACTGTTTGCCCATGTCATTGGCTTCTCCTACTAGAACTGGAGTTGTCAGTTGCATGCTGTGCCAGGGAGAAGATATGCTTCTCAACCTCTCAAGTTTCTTTAAAATTGCTGCCCTCTAAGGTACAGTGGGATAGCTTGCTGACACAGTGCAAGCCTACCATGCGCTGGGCTCAATCCCAAAAAAGTCTGGAGTTTCTGCCACGCATCCACCTGGGCCATGGCATGAGCCCTGGGCTCTCCCCCAAAGACGACAGGCATTCCAAAATAGGTGTGTAGGGAAGCCTTGCACAGTGGGAAGTAAGGGGGCTCAATATAGTGCCCCGTTTCTGGGTAGTAGATGATCTGGGGCTTCCCCTTCCCATGGGCCTCTAAGCGTTTAAAGATCTCATTGGCATAGAACTCACTCTTCCAGTTGCGATCATCCTGACCTACAAGCAACAGGAAGGTGGTGTCTGACCTTTCCACGGGGATGATGCTCTTTTGTTCAGGTCCTTCTATAGGCCAACTCAGGACATCAGAAATATCTGAAAGGCCATCTTTGGTCACCCTGATTCGATCTGCATTTACTCTCAAAGGGGGCAGGGTCTCATCCTTGTAGCACAATTTCCCAACAATGTTGGTTGCAGAGCCATTGATGATGACAGCGGCCGTGATGCCTTTCAGGAAAGAGGCCATGGAGAGGCAGAGTTCACCGCCTCTGGAAATCCCTAGAAGGCCAATCCCTGGTCCCTTGACCTAAGAAAGAGACAGAGAAAAGAAAGGGCATGAGTGCATTTAGTTGGTAGGACATTTAGTGATGCTAATCTATGAATGCAAAGCAGTCCTGAGCCTGAATCTCACTCTGCCCTACTTGGCTTTTGCAAGGTGATTAGGTCTCTTCAAATCAATGTCCTTAGTTTTGAGACTCAACTCCAAGTCTTTCTCTGTCCTGCCTGCTATCTC